TAAAGATAAAATTTATTTAATTAATACAACCTGTATTATCTTGATTTTCATTTGAATTCCACCAATTGACTAATTTATCCCACCAAGAAAGATCTTTTTCTTCAATTTTTTTCTTAGCATACTAAATTTAGAAAAGAAAATTTATTTTAAATGAAAATAATTAAATATTAACTTGAATTTGTGCAATTCGACGAATATAAATTAAATTAAAAAGATCAATTTGTTTTTCTAATTCCTTTAAATATAAATAAAATAGAAAAACAAAATAAAATAAAATAGATCAAAATCAAACTTGAGCACGTTTGTCATTTTTATTATGATTTAATTGTTGAAAATAAATTTCATGATATTCTTTATATCTATTCAAATTTTCTTTAATAACTTCCCATTTAAACGTTGCTAAACGTGGTCGAACATGTTCATTTAGAATAGCAGTATATGCAAATTTCCATCTAAATATTCAAATTTTCGGTGTGAATATTTAAATAAACAAATTTTATTTTAAAAATCTAACCGTCTTAAACTTATTCTTTCATATGGATTATCATTAAGAATTGTATAATATTGAATATATTTTGATTTCATATTAAGATAATCTTGAAATTCAAGTACATCAAGTAAATCTGAATACTAAAATTTGAAAAATAATTCAATGAGAAAAAAAAATCTATATATATATATATCAGAGATGTCCATCGCAGCTGAAAATCTGCTGCGACTATACTTAAGGCCTCCCCCCCCACTCAAAAATCGATCTCAGCCTAGAAACGTTCAAATGAGCTGAAATTTTGAGCATATGTTGGGGCTGAAGTGGGGAGGCTGTGATAAAATTTTCAGCTCGATTCACTGGGATTTAACAGAGATATAAACCAAACAAGGGCCAAAAATAGCTCATTTTGGTACAAGGATTTCTCAGTCCAGGCTGGGTAAATATATTAAAATTTTTTTTTTGTTGGAAAGAGCGCGTCAAGATGCAGGTCACTATAGAGTCCTTTTTTTTAAATTCTTACTTTTTTAGCGGAAAAAGGGGATCACAAGTTCAATGACTCAAAAAAAGCGCCAAAAATAAGTGTCTATGTGCGTACACCCAATAAAAAACAAAGCTTAATTAAAAAAATGTGGAAACCTCGGATTTAAATCCGAGAGTTATGTGTACTTCAAAAAGTGAATGAGACAAATCGGTCATCCTACAATGTGTGGATATAAAAATTAGCCTGGGAAACCCTTTCTATAAACACTTGAATTCTATTGGCTACTGCTCAAACAATAGGATTTCGGAGTGAATACAGAGAAGATTTCGACTCTTCGCCGTGAGTTATCCTAAAAAACTCGTTTTTTCCTATAATTTGATTTCTATTGGTCAGTGCTCAACCAATGGGGCTTCAAGTCAAGTGGATTACAGATTCGAGTTCTCCATCCGAGAAAATCTCGAAGTATTATCTTTGTGATCGGAAGATAGAGCTCGAATTGGGGATCGATTAGAGCGCAGACAAAAAACAGAACCAATTTCCGTTTATTTATCTTTGCAATAGGCGAGCTAGCCTACTTGTTTCTTTATGTTTTATATACCATTTTGTAGCTCTTGAAATTCTCTATCGAATGGTATATAATAGTTGGGGTTTTATTTGACTATGATGGGAAAAGTTGTTTACGAAAGCGGGAATGGGTCGATCTCTCCATAGGGAAGGTATAGGGAAAAATGAGTATTTTTGCAATAACTCAGGAAGGGCTCGGCCAATCCTTCTCATCTTCGAACTCAACCGAGATATTGTTAAGACTGAACTGTGTAGAAAATTTCATCGCGATTGGACTCTCCTTTCAAAAGTTATCGTGTTAACCGGACGGACGGCCGGACGGACACACTGACCGATTCTAGAGTGTACTCAGTTTTTGAGTACACAAAAAGAGCTCTATGGTGACCTGCATCTCGACGCGGTCGTTCAAACAAAAAAAAATTTAAATATATTTACTGAGCCTGGACTGAGAAATCCTTGTACCAAGATCAAAAAATCATAAATCGAGACAAAACGAAAAATATTTTTCGTTTTTTTCGAAATAAGCATATTTTTCAAGAAGATGTTAACGGAAATCATCAAAAATCTTGTCCGAAACGGGAGTGTCGGCTTAAAAGTCATATTGTTTCCGAAAGATCTGAAGACGGGCTATCTTCCCATGCGGTTATCTCAATTTCGAAAAATTTGACGAAAATTGACTTTTTTTGAGTGGGAGGGAGGCCTTAACTAGAAATATTGGTACTAGTCCATCAGATTCATTCATTCTCGAAGTGTTTCATTTGTAAACCCCGAAATTTTAGTATATTCATGTAGTTTTTCAATGTTCTCCAAAAAAAAACCTGCCGCTATGGACATCTCTGATATATATTTAATATTCATACTTGATTTCGATTAATATTCAAATAAATATCTTCAAAATCAATATTAGTAATAAGAACAGCTTCTGTAAAATCTTGTTCTTGAGCTGTTTTAGCAATTTTTAATTTAGCTTGACAATTTAATGGTTGAATAACTAAAAAATATTTATTTTAATAAACTATTCAATCATGTACAAAAAAAAATTCTTACTGAAATTCATTTTTGGATATTTAGATTGTTTAATTGATTTTAAATCATTCTAAATAAATAAATATTGAGCAAAAAAGAACAAACAAATGATTAATTAAAAACATACAATAATATCTTGTTTAGA